ACATTGTGTAGCGGGCAGCCCTTAAGATTTCACGTGTAAACCCTCCTGTAAATTCGCTCCCTCTGTAGGACCAGGATAATCCCAGAACCCCAGAGCATCGATTATCCATACACGACGTAGTTTAAAAAATCAAATCCACCCAAATTTAACAAAAATCCCCATAACGCATCATCTAAACTCTTCGCATCGCATACTCGACCTCTTTGAACTCTGGTAAAATATTTTTCCTCCCTCCCTCCCTCTCTCGGAAGGAATTTTATAAACGCTTCACTTATAATTGGAGTTAGACCGGCAGAAAAATCATAAAGGAAGACCTTGTAATTACAACGTCGACGAGGAGATGCAATCCAGCATCCTGCATCCCACATATCCCGAATGCGTCTGCATCCTGGGTGTACCTACGGATTCATCTCGCCGGCGGAAAAATCGTTTCCCGTGCGGATTCCGCAAAAGGAGAAACTCTTAAGTGGCGCAAACGATCCCGACACCAGGTACCCGATCTCTGCAGCATCCAGGTACCGGTGCACGCGTGATCCCCGATCCAATTATCCTCTCGGAAGGTGCACCACGCCGCGAACTTCTCTTTCCAGGGAAGCGCGAGGGGAAGAAAGAGGTCCAGGAGCGAGAGGGAGGGATTTTCACAGCCGGTGGTAAGCTCGTTAGCGGGAGATTACGATCAATGGCCGAAGATGAACGCGTTTGCACGTAAAGGCTGCTTTGCAAGCGTCCCCGAGGTTGCCGGTCGCGCCTCGCTCATTAGAGCCGCCTCCGGTCGAGCGCCCCTCCACCTTCTCTCTTCTTCGCTCCTTTTTTGATACGTGTTACTTCGACGCCACCTACGGTGGCTACCCCGGTAATTGTGTTCACACTTAACGCCGGTGTTGGTATGCAAGTAAACGCGGAGACAACGCGGGGGTGGGAGAAATCTAAACGTGGTGGACGTCGAAAAGACCCCCGAGTACCTCTTGCCTCTTCTCGAGGGGATCATTTCCCTGGGTGGGAAGGTCAGAGAGCACCCCCTTGACTAGTGAACGGTGTAATTTAAGTGGACAAAATGTGGGAGATAAAAGGCACCAGAGTGGAGGTCGTAGATACTCTTCGGGGTAAGAAGGAAAATCCTGGTTGCACTTTCTGCGAGACCAGGACTTCAAAGCCAAGACCGAGTTCACACGTCGCTATTTCTAGTCGGTTATCACTCCTAAGGAACAATCGGGGCATTTTCGGAGCCACGATCCTTGGGTCACCGCAAAGGACCTGTCCGAGGCTATTACGTCGCCTCTCGGCGCAAACCGCGTCGCGTGTCGTAAGGGTGGAGGGATTCCCCCAGGGGTCGAAGAGTGGCCGGGGGTGACCGAACGGGGCGCTACTAGTTGAATGCAAATATTTTTCGAGTCGGGGGATGCGGCCGGGCTCTCGGTGAGACAGTGCACACGGCGCGGCGCGCAGCCGGAGATAGTACCCTCCGCGGTGGCATATCTACATAATCCAATATATGCTGATGCCGGCCGGGGTCGGAGGTCCCTACGAATCGTTTGTTAGACCCGGCGGCGACTCCGCGAGCGTAACCCCTATTTTTATTGCGTCTACGGGGAAATCTAGCACTCTCTTTCTGCGCCTCGACGGTCCCCTCCTTCGCCCGGAGTCGTCCTGGAGGGCAAACGACTCTCCACGAGGCACGCGTCGCCATCTGCCGGGCGGACTGCAGTGGACGAGCAAATATCCCTGGTACCTCAATTAAACCCTATTTACACGATGCTTTCCTTTTGTCGGACCGCCCCTGATAAACCGTCCGCCACTATCAATTAGCGCACCCCAACTGCGATGGAGAGCTGGTACCACTTCCAGGGACTCGTCGGCAACGAATCCGGTATTCTAGAGTTTGGAGAGGATTCATAAATCGCGAGGGCAAATATTGGCAAAATATTTGACAGGGTTCAAATTTTCTAGGAGGTGGAAATCTCGATTTTCCGGAAGCCTAGGTCTAGGTACCAGCGCCAACAATGACCGGGTGCCCGCCACCGAGCTTTCTATCGCACTTTTCCAGGCTCCGTCGTAAAGTTAGACCGAGCAAGTAACATTCTTAAACGTTAAATCCTCGCCGCGGTTTATGCCGCAGTTACCTTTCACGCGAGCGTACCCGTGTGTTAATTACCACGTGTGTGCTCTACATGACAGCCCGACTCCTGTTCCCCTGGAGGTAACCACAGGTTCGTGCTCCCATTTTATCGTGGCCACTGTTGGACCATTTCCTCGGCCCCGACAGTTCCCATTCCGCTCTTCAAGTTACAAGGAACGGTCACGTCGATCGGGGATTTTAACGAGCTTTATACAGGTTAATCCAGAGCAAAGTAAGCAGACACGTGTCCGAGCCTCGTTCAGACATCCATGAAATTTCAAATGTTAATTATACGAAGGACAAGACTCATTAAAATTCAGGTGATCCGATTCACGAGACCTCTTTGTTAAAACAAAATCCGATTTTGCAAGCTCCCTGAATTACGTTACTTTTATCCCGTTTCTTCATCTAAATAAGCAGTCGAGATCCAAAAGATGAGTTCGTCCGATACTCGCTCTGTTTCTTTCCCCTTCCCATTCTTGTTCACCCTTCCGCCATGGGATTGGCATTCCTGACTCCCTTTCTCGTCAGCACCCCCTGGACCCGTCGAATCGATAATGGATCCTGCCCGGCTTTCCAGTCCATTCTGCACGCATCCTTTGACACCCGATAGACGTAAGAAATGAACAGAGCGAGGAGAGGAGAGTCCGATAGATAGGAATCACCGCCATTGTCGGGGCTCGCCGACTGCCTAACCGACTACACAACAGGGGTGCGAGATGAGGCCGGGAAGAAAAGCGAAATTATTTCTCCTCCGAAATCCCTTAAGACTCGAGAAAGATCCCTTTCCCCGTTCATCGCCATTTCCCTCCTCCGGGCTGCGTATTGCTCCGACTTCTATTTTATTTCCCCCTCCTGCCCCAACTTTCCTCTCATCTACGGATTCCCCGGCACATTCTGCACCCTCGAAAACTGCAAAAAGTTGGCCCAGGAGGATGGAGAGAATTCTTGGCGTTAAATTTTACGGAATTTCTATCCCTCCACCTGGTTACCCCACGCGAGTGATCTCCCTTTCCAGGAGTCGCATCAGGGACAGCCGGAGGGGAGGAGGAATCGCGTTAACGAAGAGGTGCGAAGGGGTTGAAGAAGCGCGAGTGACGACTAAAAGAGGGGAATAAATCGAGGGTCCCAAAGTTGGCGTCCCTGACGAATGGGATTAAAGGAGCCGGGCTCAAGCGATGAAATTTCTCGTCGCGGGTCCGAGAGGGGCTTTGAGCCATCCGGCGTGGTTTTAGGCTGTCAGGTGGACGAGGAGGGCGGGAGGGGGAGAGGAAAGAAAGGAATAAATAAAAATGAAGGCATTTTCGCCTCGAGACAGGGGTTAGTCCCGCTGTCAGAACGCATCCGAGCCTTCATTATTTCGGGCTGACCTCGGGCCAGGGTTTCCCGCGAGGAGCCACCCCTCGCCCCTCGGGAGAAGGAAGAGGGATCGAAGGCGATCCCTCCTGAGGGAGGAGGACCGAGAATCGGGGGATTTTCCGCCGGTCTTAAGGGATTCGGTACCCGCCTCAATTTTTCTTTTCACCTCCGCTTCGTCTCGCCTCTTGATTTTCCCCTCCTCGTCGCGACGCCTTAATGGCGCCTCCAATGGTGTTAAAAAAATATATGTATACACCTGAGTTTGGAAAAAAATATTGTGGAAATATTGGAGGACCTTGGTCATCGATATGGGGAGGGTGAATCGTATGTCGAGGACTTATTGGTGGGGGGGAAAATTATACTAGGGGAATAATCCGCTCCTTCGGGGAAAAAACCTCCCTTGGACCGGAGGGGTTGTTTGCGGCCGTGCTGCGGTGTTCATCATTTTTCGAACCGACCCTGCGGAGGGAGCGGAAAACCGCTGCGTGTTTTTCTCCGGCCAAGCCGCGTCGGCGTGCCGAGATTATAATTATGCAAATGTCTCGTTGCGGCCCGGAGAGCGGGAAGCAACAGATGTCGGGAACGACCGGGAGAGCCTCTAAGGAACCTGGAATGTCCTTCCTCCGTGGAGGATCCGTTTCGGGTGGTCCTAGTCCACGCCCAGGAACCCCCAATTAAGTCCGCCTCGCTTCCCATTTTCTTCACCAATTTTCTGCCTCCCTTTCGAGGAAACGGCGATGCAATTCCAAGACGACCCCGGGACTAACATTTTTACATTACTTAAATTACTAGGGAAAAATCTATTCCAGGAAAATCGTTATTACTTAGATCTCGAAATTGTAAGGACGAAGGTGCGGTAGAGCTGGATATTCGTTTTGAAAAATTTCAATAATTACAGAAGGGAAGAATATATATATAGGAGTGAAATTAATTTTATGGGGGTGATGAGGAAGTTTGTGCCCTCAATTTTTCCTGAGTCAAACTAAACTTCTCGAAACAGAGGAGTTACTCTGCTCCCAAAGTGTATACACATCACGTAACAAGTGCACAGTTTAGTGTTCGCCGAAGGAGGCCCGAACCTCTTCCGAACAAAGACACCGGTGTGCCTTCCGGCAAGTTGGTAAACTCTCGGAATCCCCATGACTCGAGAGAACGCTCGAGTCCAGGGTAGAATATCCCATGGACACACAATCGCGGTTTGTCAAGCCCGAACAAAGATGGCCTCAGGACGGCTTGGGCAGCCTTTGTAGAGTTTTCGCTCAAGTCACCAGAAAAACGCGTGAGAGCTTCTCACTGTGACTGGGGAACGGATGCGCGCACTCTGATAAAAATCCCCATCCTGTGGGAACACTATTTCCGTTCCCTCGCAATCAGTCCTAACGCGACTCCTTATACCTATAAAAAGGGCATAAAGAAATACACACAAGGATTTCTGAAAACCCCCAGGTGCAGATACCTCCCCATAAATCACCATAACTTCTTATAAAAAAATATTAAAATATATATCCAAGTGTTTATCACTCACCGGGAATCTCTGGACGAATACAGGCATCCACGACGTGTCCAAGTCCTACTTGGACCTCCCAGTTTCTACTACCCTGTGCGAAGATGCCCCGGATCTGCAATGACAAAAATTATCCAGAATTAGCGCTAATTTTCCACGTTAAATCGGGAGCGCGCGAGAGTTTCCCAGGTGACGAGCGGTACGGTCGCGCGATAGGCGAGGCCGATAAGGCGCTAGGTCGCGGCGTCGCGACGCTATCGCGCGGAAGTCGGGCGCAGATAATTGCGCTAATTGCGCGCATAATTAGCGACTTGGCGAATCCCATAAGAGTTGAGAGAAATTGCAAAGCAGGTATTGGCCGATCGTAGCTCGTAATTGGTCGGCTCGGTTCGTCGTTTACGCGAAAAATTAGCGACACGATCGACGACATCGATCCGCCTGTCTTTCGACGCGGCGTCGCTCGATTACCGAACGCGTCCTCGCGGCGCGTCAATTAAGCCGCCTCCGAGGAGAGATTTTAATTAAATCCTGCCGACAGCCGTTTCCAGGCTGATAAAAGCTACAAATTATTTCCCAGGATTTATCGGGCCGATTTTCGCCTTTCGTTAAGGGTTTCTCCTTGATGGGTTGCGGTACCCTTAATAGAGGTTCGATAAGGTACGGTTGATAGGTTCGCTTCGTTAAGGGGATGTCCTTAGATCCACGTTCCGGAGGTATCCTAAATGTCTCGTATCATCAAGTATACATGTCCTCCTCTAGCTACATTAATTTGATATAAAAAATCATTCTATCTATATCAAAACGTGAAAATATTTATATAGTATTAAAAAATGTATATTCTAACAAATTATTCGGATTCACCCAATTTGGAAAAAAATTTTATAAACATTTTTACTTCTCGGTACATGTATATATATGACACTCTCATACACCTTAAGGACTCTTCTCGTGAATGGAGCCACGATTAAGGTCAAATTAATTTCCATATCATTCGAAGGGTATATTTAAAATTTTTTAAACCAGGGTAGAGAGTCCTCCGACCGCGAATAATTCCTCCGTGGGAGGGAGGAATGTTCCCCGGGAACTTTTACAGTTCCGAAGTTCCGAAGAGAAAAAGGCCGAAAGCAGGCGAAATAGTTGCAGAAATGAAGCGGGATGAGCGCGGAACGCGAGATCTCGAGAAAGTCCCCAGAACTACTGCGCAACTCTGGATGTAATTACTCTCGTCTGCCACGTAAACCCCTCCCAGTCCCTATCTCGTTGTCATAGCTATCTCCAGGACGAAGGGGCCGGCCAGGGCGCGAAATTGCTGCTGCTTCCTTCGGAGGCTAATCAGTCGTCCTTTCCCCGATAAGCCCGGAAATCCACTTAACCAAGTCCGAAAAACTCCCCCGAAACCGAGTTAATAACTCCCCGTGTCGCCTGTTAATATCTCATATTTATATCAATTTACATGAATTACAACAACCTCGACTCGTGCCCGACCGACGCGATGGTCGAAATAAAATTGTTAAAAAAAATTGCGCCGCACTCAGGACGCATAAACCAATCAAAATCGACGTTTCAAAGGGCGTGCAGCGTCCAAAATCAACATCGGAGATTTATAACTCGTTTGAAGTCCCGGACGCTCGGCAAATGAAACGTCTCGTCTCGTTTCCTTTTTGCCGGCCTCGCCCGTCACCGGAATATTTACGATTTTTCCCCGGTTGGGAATATTCCCCGATTTAATTAAGCGGACACTTCGGACTTCAAAGGACTTTGTTGCAAAAGGAGGAAATTTATGCGCGACTCGATTCGTTCTGGGATATCGGCGTAATCGGACAGGGTGGAGATGCTGCGCGCGAGAAATGAGCTCTTCGGGTGCCTTTGAGTACATCTTCGAGTACATCTTCGAGTACGTCTTCGGGTCGTCATGGGCGTTTTACATAGGATGTCGGGTCTCCTCGCTTTGGTCTTGTTCTCGACAATGTTTAGAGCGTGAACGTTAACGAGTCGGGAAAAATTGCTCGATGGCGTCGTATCTCCTCCCGGCTACCTGTTCAGGTGCGATCGACCCGTTTACCGGTTTATCATTTATCAGCCGCGCCCGGGGCATTCCTTTCGAGGGCGATCGGAGATGATCGATGACTCGATTTATCGAGACCTCGAAACGCGCGTACGAGAAACATGTCGACGCGCGCCTCGGAAGGCAATTATTGGGAGATCCACGGGAGTTTCGATAATCGATAATCGGCCCGAAGGCCTATCCTCGACTGGTCCCGGGTGATACAAGACCGGCTAGCTTTTCTTCAAATTGAACGGCCTCGTTTCACCCTCGAAATTCGAGAACCGACATAAATTTCGAAGCCCGTTCGACCTGCTATTGAACTCACCCAAATATATATATATATGCGAGGTAAGGCCTCCATTGTTGAAATTTTTTTCCAGGATAATAAATGGCCCCGGAAATAATCGAAATAAAAGTACAGCGTATTTATAACTAATTTCAGACGAGGATTCGTTTAAGCCGCGGGCATGCTTGATTTCTAAACGGAAGTTTCCTGAAAAATGATGGAACTTAAGGGGAAGAGATTTTCGAGATTTATCACGAGAGGATGTTTTGGACGGGCATTTTAAGATGGCGTCCGCTGGCGCTTTGCCGGTGGCGAAACCGCGCCGGAATGGAATAAATGGAGCCAATTGTGAGGCGACGTGAGAAAACGGGGTCGGGGGGAGGAAGAGCACTGTACGCACCGTACATGCGGTTTACGTGTGTAGAGAGATTTCAATTACGTCTCGTTAGGGCGGCAGATGGGCATAAACGGTCCTTACGCACTGCCGCCGTTTAGGGCCACGAAACTTACGCCCACGAAACTCGTTCCTCCTTTCCTCCTCGCCTCGACGTCCTCTTCGGTTACCCTCTTTTGCATACTAACAGCTACATCCGAAAGTTATGGGACCGGAGGGTCACTCGGGGTTCCGCCGGTGATTGAAAAAGACCTCCATCGAAAAACTCTGTACGCGATTAAAACGTCCAAGATCGACTTTTTCGGAGTTCTCTGGTACCGGTCCTCTTCGCCAATTTTCCCATATGACTCGTTGATCGAAGGGGAAAAAGCTCGCTGCGTGTGCGCCCTGAAGACCAAGAAGTCACTCCATGGGCCTCGGTTCTTTATTATGGGACTCGTTCCGTTTCGCCCAGTCGAGTGTCCAGTCACTCATCGAGTCAAGTTGATTACTTCAAACACTTGAAGCCAAGCTCCGAGCTAAGTTCAAGTGTCCGTTCTCCAGGCCCAGATGGACAGCCTCTGGTACCTCTCGCGTTTTCTCTCACGAGCCCGAAGAAAATTCGCTCGACGTCGTTCCTCTCGCTAAATAAATTCCAATCATCGCAAAAGCTTCATTCCACCCATTTCACCGAATGAAAAAAAAAATGGTGAGTTAATTATTTTGAGAGAAAAAAAAAGATCCGTGGTTCTGGCGGGATTTGGATCCTCGCCCTGCGCGGGTCGGAAACGTCCAAAAAATGGACGGCGATTCCCCTCGGCGACCTGCGGTATCGTCAGGCCGCCATATATCGCGGTGAATTATTAAGGCTCGTTTCGCCTCGACAAGAAAGACTACCGAGATCCTCGTTATCCCCCTACGAGCCAATTACGCGTGGGATCGCGCAAGCGAGCCGTAACTTACGCGTCGCGGATTCCGCAAGACACCGTCCGCCGTGTCATCTCCCCGGAAGGTCTCATATGAGAAATCCCGCTTATCCGGGACCGATACGTTTTCGTTAGACGCGTCTTGCGTTTTCCGTCGTACAGGGAAACATCCCCCTGACACGTGTCGTTTCGGGGGTGGCTGCAGTTAGGACAACCTGGCACCCCGAAGCCCGATATTGCGTGTCTTTTATCGCCGAGGGAAATTAAGAGATTTCCTGACGACCCTGGGTAACCGGAAACGAAGCTCGGTTCTCCTGTTTATATTTATCCACTGCGGAAGGAAAATAGAATAACCGCTACATGCGATATTACGGTACCTGACGACGTCTTCGACAACGTCTAGGCGACGGCGCCTCCGGTCGAAGACGTGGTTATGGGGATGCATGGCACGTTCAAAAGTTCAATATCGCGTGGTACTTTATGAACGGGATAGTAAAGAGATTCTTCAATAAAGGAAGACAATAATGATGAGACACTCCAGGATATGGAGCCTGGGGAAGAACGAACGAATGCTTTAGCCTTCAACTCCTGAAACGTGGGTCACCTCATAAACTCCCAGAAAAGAAATAATAAAATACAAATTCTAAACATCGCGTTAAAAATTTCAATTAAGCGCGTCTGGTATTACCGAAATTCGTCGATATCTCGTGTCGATACATTTTCGCGGATTACATGCACCTCGGGGGACACTCCGTGGTTCACTTATCAGTGGGAATTTGCGCGTCCCCGCAGACCGCCATTATCACATGTGCGAGTCCACTCGATAGGTAGAAATTTTAATTCAATCGATTGCCATTAATAATCATCGACGACGAGTGCTCCAGAAATACTACGCCAAGAATCGTGCCCTGGATAGAGAATCCACCCCGAGGGAATTTTTACGATGCACGTCTTCCAGATTTCTCGGCCCCTCAGTCTTGTGCAGAAATGCGGAAGAGCGTGTGCAGAAATGGAGGTGCGTTTGTCATCGGGACTGGTGGAAATATAAATCGCAAATAGCGGAGGGACACGCTACAGGTTGGGCGAGGAAGATAAACTTTTGAAGATCGACCGTGGAAGTTATCACTGCACTCTTCGACTTCCTCTTCGGGCCTTCCCCTTCCTTCGTCTCGTCGCTTCTTTCCGCACTCCTGGAGACGCGTCTTCTTTATTGAGCCGCCTCCTTCGGCGACCTCGCAAAAAGGACGTAAATGTGCAGAGACGATTGTTGAACTTTCCTCTTATATCACGGTACCGCGTATACGGAGGATACGCACGGAAAGCCCAGCGCTTCCATGCCCCTAACAAACGCACCGAGAGTGCGTCGATAAAATGGGGAGAAGTATCGGAATCGGATCGTAAATCGATACCGAAGAAACCGAGGGAACCGAGAATTTTATATCACGCGTGAAATCAAACCAGCTTGTCTATAAAAATTAATTCA